TGTTAAGCAGGGAAGTGTGTTGAGAAGGAGGCTGTGCCAGTTCTCAGATGGGTCTTTGAAATTTTACAGACTGATTCCAAAGGTAAAGGCAAAGCATTGGCCGACCTGACGCTTTCTCTTGCACTCGACAAGAGTTTGGATGCGCGCTCTGTTACAATAGAGAACAGCAAAGGTAATGCCAGAGGGACTAAATGGTTACCTTTGGAAACTTCTCTGGGGTGACGTGGCTGAGGAGAAGAAGAGTGCAATAAGCACTCAGAAGAATGACAGGCCGGTCGTCTTCCATTAGGGGTCTTGCCAGCAGCAGGAGAAAACCAGAAGGAAGGTGATAACACTCCACGGGATTCTGAGGTACCTACTCTGAAGAGGGCAGTGAGGGCCCTCTGGATCGGTGGCTTCAGGGCGCCTTTCCCTTTGCTGTCGCTTTTGCCACATGCTTGTACCTTGTCCCTGTCCATGCAAATGCTGCAGACACACTGTTCTGTTAGCACTAGGACAAAGTGAGGTCAAGCTGATATCCTAGCTCTTCTTGAAGCTGACCTCCAAGCTGGATTTCTAGAACAAAGCAGTAAGGCTTTCTCCTGCTTACTGTCCTCAGAAGTGCTACAAGACTGGTGTTGTGAGGATTGCTTTCTTCTACCTCACAGTCTGCTTTCTGGGATCCAATAATGTCACATGGTTCCCCTATATCCTACAATCTAGAGATGCTTTTCTGCTGCCTACGTTCTCTCTGGACTGGGCAGGTGTATTTCATGTGCTTTTGAAAGCTCTGCTCAAGAAAGATGCTGAATGTGCTGGTTGTGTTTGCCCCTTTCCTTCCTTCTGTCACCCAATTCCTCTCATTAGGCCTGTTGGCTGAAGCAGAAGTGTTCTGTGCAATGATGGACTAGAAAGAGGCTGTGCCAAATCTCAGTTGTGTCTTTTAAATTACACAGACGGATTGCAAAGGTCAAAAGAAAGAGGCGGCCAATGTGATGCTTCGTGGTACAGTTGGCAAGAATTTGGGTGCGCGCTCTGTTTCAGCGGAGCACAGCAAAGGTAATTCCAAGAGCGACTAAATGGTTACCTGTGTGACTTGCTTTAGGTGGCATGGCTGGGGAGAAGCGGAGTGCAATAAGCACTCAGAGGAATGACACGCCCGTTGTCTTTTGTTAGGGGTGTTGCCAGCAGCAGGAAAAGAGAAGAAGGAAGAGAATGACGTTTTCCTAAAAGATGATGACTTTTCCTGGCTTTTGGAGGTACCTGCTCTGGAGGTGGCAGTTCGGTCCCTCTTGATCAATATCTTGTGAGCTCTTTTCCCTTTGCTGCTGCCATTGTCTCAGGCTTTTACTTTGGCCCTGGACATGCCAGTGCTGCAGAAAAAGTGTTCAGTTTGTGCTACGACAAAGTGAGGTCAAGCTGATATTCTGGCTCTCCTTGAAGCTGACCTCCAAGCTGGATTTCTAGAACAAAGCAGTAAAGCTTTCTGCTGCTTGCTGTCCTCCAAAGTGCTACATGACTGGTGCTCCGGGCATTGGTGTTTTCCACTGCACAGCCTGCTTTCCTGGATCCATTAATATCACGCAATTCCCCTATACCCGACAGTCTAGAGATGCATTTCTTCTGCCTAGGTTCTCCATGGACTAGGCAAGGGTATTTCATGTCCTTTTGAAATCCCTGCTCAATGGAGATGGCACATGTGCTGGCTCTGTTAGCCCGTTTCCTTCCCTATGTAACCCAATCCCTCTCCTTAGTCCTCTTTGCTGAAGCAGAAGTGTGGTGTGTGAAGGTTCATTGAGTAAGTGGCTCTGCCAGTTCTCAACTGTGTCTTTTAAATTACACAGATGGATTGCAAAGGTCAACAGAAAGAGTCAACCAATGTGAGGTTTCGTGCTGCAGTTGGCAAGAATTTGGATGCGCGCTCTGTTTCGACGGAGCACAGCAAAGGTAATTCCAAGAGGGACTAAATGGATACCTGTGTGAACTGCTTTGGGGTGACATGGCTGGGGAGAAGCGGAGTGCAATAAGCACTGAGAGCAATGACACGCCCGTTGTCTTTTGTTAGGGGTGTTGCCAGCAGCAGGAAAAGAGAAGAAGGACGAGATAGATGTTTCCCTAAATGAAGATGACTTTTCCTGGATTTTGGAGGTACCTACTCTGGAGGGGGTAGTGAATTCCCTCTGGATCCACATCTTCTGAGCTCTTTTCCCTTTTGCTGCTGCTATTGCCACATGGTTGTACTTTGGCCCTGGACATGCCAGTGCTGCAGACAAACTGAGGGCAAGCTGATATCCTAGCTCTCCTTGAAGCTGACCTCCAAACCGGATTTTTAGAGCAAAGCAGTAAAGCTTTCTGCTGCTTACTGTCCTTCGAAGTGCTGCAAGACTGTTGTTGTGAGCGTTGTTGTTTTCCACTGCACAGCCTGCTTTCCTGGGTCTATTATTTTCACACGGGTCCCTTATGCCTTACAGTCTAGAGATGTATTTTTCCTGCCTATGTTCTCTCTAAACTGGGCAGGGGTATTTCATGTCCGTTTGAAAACTCTGCTCAAGAGAGATGCCCAATGTGCTGGTTCTGTTTGCCCGTTTCCTTTCTTCTGTCACCCAATCCTGGTCCTTAGCTCTGTTGGCTGAAGCAGAAGTGTTGTACATGGAAGTGTGTACAGAAGAATCCTTTGTCAGTTCTCAGACATGTCTTTTAAATTGCACAGACCGATTCTGAAGGTGCTCCAGGAAATGTGCTGCTTCCTGCTGTGATCGGTAAGACTTTGGATGCGCACTCTGTTGCAGTGGAGCCCAGCAAAGGTAATTGCAGAGATACTGAATGGTTACCTTTGTAAACCTCTATGGGGTGACAGACATGGTTGTGGAGAAGCCTGAGTGACATAAGCACTCAGAGTAACAAGACAATTTTGAACTTTTTTTTAGGTATCCTCCCAGTAGCAGGAGCAGAGAAGGAAGAAAATATTGTCCCCTCTTCTGGGAATAAGGTACTTAGTTCTGTTCTGGCTGAATTGCATTGCCTTTGGCTGAAGTCAGATGGAGCGTGATGCTGCACTCTTGACGAGGATCCTTTTCTCCACTGAGTCTCTGTTTTCTTGCTCGCTTAGCTGCCTACATTGGAGAGAGAAAATCTTCAGCTAAGATTTGATTCTTCAACTCAAACAGATGCTCAGCTGGACATACAGGTGACTCTATTTGAGGTTGACGCAGATATATCCCTAAATAGAGCCTGTCAGTGTAAGCACAAGTGATCTTACTCCTGAACTCATTTTGAAATACTGCTGAGAGGAGGTGATTGAGTCTGGATCTGCGCTATACTTTGGACCTCATTTGGATGGCATTCTGAAGCAGGAAGGGCTGGAATAAGGCTTGCTGCAAGTCCCATTTACGTTCCCTTTGAACACTTCCATAACTTGGTCAAGTGTCCCCCCACAGTCCTTGCAAAAAATTTATTTCTTAAGTCCAATCTAAATCTACCCTCTTTTCATTTTAAACCACTACCTCTCGTCCTGCCGCTACTGGTCTCTGTAAACATCTCTCTCTCTCTTTTTATACTGAAAGACAGCAGTAAGTTCTGCCCAAAGCCTGCTTTTCCCTGGCTGAAAAAGCCCAAGTCTCTCAGCCTTTTTTCACGGGAGAGCTGTTCCAGCCCTCTGGCCATTTATGGCCTTCCTCTGGACTCATTCCATCAGGTCCATGTCTTACTTTTGCTGGGGACCCCAGAACTGGACAGTGCTCCAAGTGAGGTCCCATGAGAGCAGAGTAGAAAGGGAGAATGCCCCTCTCACCCTGCTGGCCAACCTGATGACCCATCTCTTTATATAATCCCATCCGTAAAAGCACCTCTTGTGTTGTCATGTTCTGACTGGTTTCTCCATGTTCATGGAACATCATTTCTTTAGCCATTGCTCACGCAGCTACTGGAAAAGCTTAATGAAGTTCTTGGAAAGAACTCTCCAGCAGAAGCTTCACTCGTTACTATGCAAACCACCAGCAAGGACGTGAAGGAACAGAGAGTGCCGATGCAGGAGAAAGTGGAGAGGTCTGGAATTCAGGTATAGGAAAGGCTGTCTCTTGGCAGCGCCCAAGGCCTTCTTTGTAGTGCACCAGAGCAGGAAACTGATTTTTCCTTGAGAGTTTGATGTAACACCAGATGATTCGGTGTGCAGCTAGCTGTGATGGGAAGGAACAGCACCGCTGCCTTTGGTGTCTACCTGTTGGCATGACTTGAAGTGAGAGTGGAGGGCTGCACTAAGGTGGTGTAGGGACGGAAAAATTCTATGTGAAAGTTTACTCAAGGAGGATAAAAGAATGTTCAGTGAAACCAGTTTTGACTGCTGGGAAAGACACAATGTGGGAGAAAATGATTTCCCATGAATAGCACTGTCTGTATTTCTTTGGCTGCCTGTTTATGAAGCTGACTCCACTGTTGCAAGAAGAGAGAACGCATTCTCACAGACATACTGTGGGGTCCCTACTGGGGAGAGGAGAAGTCCATAGAAGGACAGGGAGAGAACACAGCTTTGAATTTATGTGCATGCAAAAGGTGCTGATATAAAAAGCACCCAGGCTACAGGCTGCATGCTCCTTCCTCCCGCTGTGATTTTTAGAGGGGTATTTTAGGGTTTTTGACTTCAGAGTAAACTTTGCCTTAACACCTTAGCCTTGCCTTGGTGTATGGGGTTACCTGTGTGTGTATGAACTCCAACAGGTGGTCTTAGTGTACTGGACAACTGTGCAACAGGAGTAAGTTGAGTGACATATAATTGACTCAACTAGTTTTATAAGCCTGGTGCTTATGATGAGAAAGATCACTATCCAGGAAGTCACTTTCTCCTTCATTGGACAAGCACATGTGTATTCCTGTCCAAAAGCTGCTTCTCAAGTTTTGCAAAGCATACTATGTGCTGAGAGAGGAGGGGTAGGCATATTGGAGTGCTGAGCTGGTGCTTTGTCGTATTTCCTCATCACACCATCATCGTCGTGGAGTTGCAAAGTCACTTTAGGAGCAGGAGGAGCTTCTAACTGTGTTGGAGTAGCCAAGTGTCTTGGTTCTGGCCAGGACAGGGTTAATTTTTGCAAACACCAGGAGGGGGCGTGGCTAGGACAGAATCATTATTCTATACCACTTGAGGTCATTGCTGGGTGTGGGGGAAGGGAATCTGTTCTGGAGAGAACAGGTCCCTTCTGGTTGAGTAAGTGTGGTGTGGAAGGAGGAGCTGGATAATGCCAGTGCTGAGCATTTTGTATGTGGATCACTTGCCCATCTCTTGCACGCTTTTGGAGGAAGTAACGTGGGTTTCAAGAGTTTTCATGAGTGTCAAAGCAGTGCAGTTTTTCGAACAAACATAAGCTGTCTACTGAGGATTCTTGTTGGGGTTTGACATCTGCAGGAACCCAAAGAGCGTCATGTCCAGAATGAACGTTCTCCTGAGTTATTGAAGAACCCCCCAAAGGAGAAGGAAATAAAAATTTCCGGGAACCTGCAAGACCCTCCTCCTTCAAACAACACGTCTTTACGTGCAGCTATCCGTGAGCTGCAAGAACGCTTCCATTGGTAAGCCAGTGCAGCAAAGCTTCCCTTTTTGTGATTGTGTAGAAACAAGAGGACTTACTTGTATCCCAGTTAGATACTAATACATGATTTTCAAAGATGCTTTTCATTTTAGATGAGGTTCTTTCACACTGTTCCTTTGGGATTTGTGCTCTTCTGGACTTCTTTCATAAGACCTGTACTTATTTTTCAGTCTCGAAGTTGACTACGCCAGGCTGGAAGCCACATTCCAGTGTCAAGCCAAAACCATAGAAATAATTGAGAAGTTGCGGCAAACCAAAAAGGTACTCAGGGCCTTCCCTTTTATGACCCACAGAGCCTCGTTCCATATTCATGTGGGCAAATTTTACAATGAGCTTTTCCTAGAGAGAATCTAGGAGAGATCAGTTCCTCTGTTCTACTGACTACAGATTGCTCTGAAAGTCCTGTCTGTTACCCAGCTTTCTGGCATTTTAAGTTGTCCATGAGACTAAACCAAATCCTACCAATTGCTGTCTGACCTCCAAAGATGAAAATCCCTTTGCACAGTGGAGGGCACAGGGACCTGTGGCCTTACCAGGACTGGACACTCTGAGACATGGCAGGAACTCAGACTTTAGCAAGCTTAGATCGTAAGGGTATAAAAGGCCTGGGTTTTCTTTTGTTCGGGGTCCCTCCTCGGAGGCACCCAGCTTGAGCAGCCATTTTATTATTGCACCATAATTAAACTATTTGAAGGATTGAGATGACTGAGACTCTGCTGTGGGAAGCCTGGGGTCAAGCTGTTAAGGAAACCTTATCTGACTGTGTGAGCGTGGGGTGTGTAGGGAGTCAGGCGGGGAAACCATCGGCTCACTGGAGCCACCCACTGCAGAGTGACTCGGCTCAAGGGACTGCCAGAGTGGCTCCTGAATGATAGGACAGGAAAGTTTCCTTAGCAGTTGCATCTGATTCCATGCATTCAGAAGCCAGGGGAATGGCATGAAGCTGTGTCAGGGGAGGTTTACTTCAGATGTTAGGAAAAGGTTCTTCACCCAGAGGGCAGTTGGACCTTTTCTCCATGCAGGAGACTTTCTTGGCACATTACTGCTCCAGCCACCCTCCGTGTTTTACAGAGCACAGGAGTCAGCTGCAAGGGAATATTTTCTACTCTTGCTATCCTGTCCACCCCCACAGCTGGTGCCAACTCTTTCTCTCCCACAGACATGCAATTGCTGCACCATCCACGGAGGAACGAGGCTCAAACTACCATGAGAAACAAAGCCATCTCTCTAGCGCAATTAAGCCAGCAGTGCTTGAGCCCTTTCAGTGAAGACTCCGAGGCAAACTACATGGAGAAGGGTGCTCTGGGGCTGAGATCTGCTTTGAGGCTCAAGACACCAGAACGCCCACCAGAACAACAGCCCAAAAGAGGGCTCCACCCCAGACTCCGCCTATTCTGAATATCGCACCAAAACTGTACAAACCCCTGACTTTACATGGATAACTTTGGGCTGGTTTTATCCAGAGTGAGCTGGCTTGCCCCCGACATTGCTTAAAATAAATACCATTTGCTACCTAAAGTCTCAAAACTGTCTCTGAGCAGTTTTTATTGCGTCTTTTGGGGCATCACCCCCTGCTCCTGGAACAGACTCATTTGTCCATAAAGTGAGGAAATGAAGTCTCCAAATTCCATATTGCCTAAAAAGCAGCAAAAGGCAATAGCAAATGCAAAAGGACCGCACGTTTTGTGTCAAGTTTTGGAAGGCTGTAGAGACCTTTCATGCTCAGACAGCCCGAAGCAGAGCACAAAGGACCTGGCAGCAATCATTCTGCATGCACCATAGCTAATGACAGTATCATAGACCAGTATGGTAATCTACAGTAGATTTGCACAAAGTCCCAAAGTACCAG